CGCCAAGAAAGGAACCACCGAGGAACCACCCTCCTGCTCCGGCCCTGGACCGCAGGCTGGAACGTGGCAGGCTGTGCTGGCAGTGCCGGCTGTACCCGCTGTCCTGGCTGTGCCAGCTGTCCAGGCTGGGCCATGTGTTCTGGCTGTGCTGGCAGTGCTGGCATGCGAGGGCTGTGCAGTCCGACAGTGGGGACACCTCGCACAGCTGTGGTGGCAGCCACTGGGGGCACCTTGCACAGCCACGCCAGCAGCCGAAGCACCTGCTGACACGGCCAGGTGAAGGAGCTTTAGGATCAGTTGTAATGTGTGGGGAAAAGTTCTGGAAACTTAGGGTACGGGCACTGAAGTGAAAGAGAAAAAAGCCCGAGATGGTGTTTTGCAGCTTTATTAAACTCCCTTAAAGCTCTCTGGTAATAATAAATGTAATAGTAGTGCACTGTATCCTAAATCCCAAAGCAGGAGATTTTGTTAAATAAAGGGCTTCAACCCACTGCAGCACATAGGAACATTGAAAAGAAATAAGTGGAAAAAATTACATTAATATTTATACTGTAAAAACATAGTGATATCAAAGCCCAGCCTATGGTTACATTGTGTGATGGAAAATAAAGGAAATGGCCATTCTGTTGTTCTTCCAAGGCCTTTCTTTGCCAAGCAAACTCCCTCAGACATGGGAGGCAGTTCTGATTTCAGCAGGATTTGTGTGTGTGGATGGTGCTTGAAGACTCTCAGTAAGAGGGAGGGAAAGATAGGATTGCAAAAACTGTCTGAAGAGGGAAAAAGTGAGCAGCAGCTTGAGAGGAAGATCAGAGTCAGGGCTGCACTTAAATGGAACATTTCCTTTGGTTTAGAAATAAAAGTTTGAGACACATAAGGCCTGTGGTTCATTCACCACACTGGCTTAGGCCTGGCTGGGGTCCCCTCTGCCACCACACCCGAGGGCTGTGCTCTGGGGTTGGCTCCGTGTGACCCCCAGAGCCAGCCCAGGGGACTCTGCAGTACCTGGCACTGAGCCCTCCCGACCTGGCTCCCCAGGAGCTGCTGGAAGTGTGTTCTGTGCTGATGGCCAAGGCCAGCAGCATCTTCCCTAATCTCTGGGTGCAAGGTTCAGCCCTGCCAGGGCGGGGACAGACCTCAGATGTCCCCCTGAGCTTCGGCTTCCCCCTCACGCACGTGACAAAGTCATCCCCGTTTCGGTCCGGTCAGGCATTCCCTCTGCTCACTCTGCGCCTTGGCTCTCCTCCCTGGCAAGTACAAATGTTCCAGATAGCTGAACAGATTCTGTGACACAAGACAGCTGCTTTTGTAGGGAGGAATTAATTTAATCAAGTACTCCATCATTAAAATAATCTGACATGTCAGATGGAAAAGCACAGAAGCAAGCTTGCTTGAAGATGAAAACTAACACTTTTTCCAGCCAGAAGTGTCCCAGAAGATGAGGCAACGGTATAATACTTCACTCTAGGTCTCTATGTAATATTTTAGTAATGTAAATAATATCTTATCCAAAGATAATTTGTGAAGGAATTACCTCTTCGTAAAGCCTGGCTGACTTGGTAAATTGTATTTCTTCTCTGGAGCATAAGAATCATAAAATCAGAGTGGTTTGGGTTAAAAGAGACTTTAAAGGTCCACCATCCTGCCATTGGCAGGGAAAACTTCCACTGTCCCAGATTGCTTCAAGCCCTGTCTAACCTGTCCTTGGACACTTCTAGGGATGGAGCAGCCACAGCTTCTCTGGGCAACCTGTTCCCAGAATGAGAGACTGCATAGAGTTGAAGACAATGCCGTGGTCCTCAAAGGGCAGGATTAGACACATGTGGCTGATCCCACCACACAGAATACAAGGGCTCTTTTGGCTGAAAATAGCAGAAAATGGTGAAAATCATCCCACTCTTCCTCTTGCCACAGGGCAGCTTCTGCTGTATCTTAGTTGCTTGGTTACTTAATTACCTCCATATTATAGTGTATTTTCTTAATTCTTCATACCAGGTGTTTATTATCTCTGGGAAGGATTTTCTTTGCCCATTTGATGCTGGAGATGAGGTTGTGTTTACGGGCAGCAGCACAGAAGGTCTCAGTCCTTGGCCAGCACAAAGCCATCCCCAGCATCCTGGATGACGGGGCACAGATTTGCCTCCCAGGCAGCACTGCAGTGCCAGGAACCCAAACCTCTGGAGTTACCCAGTGTTCTGCTTTCCCTGTGGTGTGGGCAGAGTCCATTACTGGTGTGGCAGCAAGTGTCTGTGCTGCAGAAACAAGGCCTGGCTCTGCGTGGCCAGGAGCCTGTTCCTCCACACGGCTCCCCATTCCCCTTAACTCACTTCCCAGGTACACGCTGCTGATGGGATGAAGGAGTAGGTGTGTGCTCTGGGTAAGGAGTAGATCTGTGCACTGTGTAAACACAGATGTGTCCTACAGTGTGTTGACAAATCACAAATAAGCCCCAAAACTTGACTCAAGACCTGGTTCCTGTGTAACTCTCCGGCAGAGGAGTTTCACCTCCACTGCCAGCCCACCCCGTACATTACCGACTGTAACTTCCAGGGGGGATATCTGATTTCTCTGACTATGGAAATTCAGCCAGTAAAACACTAGGAAACGCTGGACTTGGAGTACCCTGGAAGTTTGCTCTCCAGTTGGGTATTTGGGGGTGTTTTGGAAGCCTCCACCCAGTCAGATGGGAATGAAAATGGAAACTTTGCCTTTGGAAGAAAAGTTTGTGGTTGTGTTCTGCAGGAAAACCACAAAGCTGTAGAGGCGGAAAACTGGGGAATACTGGGCAATTGTGTGCTTAAAAAATCTGAAGATGAAGAAACTAAAGTTCGCATTTCTCTTTTGAAAGGTTTCTGGATTTTTAAGCCGCCCTCCTTATCCGGGGCGGGCGAGGGCAGCGATGCCCCGTGTTCGGTGTCGGTGTGCACAGAGCTGCACTCCTGGAGTGAGAGCAGCCCTCCCCAAAATGGGGCTGGTTACGTAACCGAAGACTAGAATAGCTGCTCACGTTTGGGTTTCGTTATAAACAGTGACCCCGACTGACTGTGGCTGCGGTGGATCCGCCAGCATTCCGTGTGCTCCGGCACAGAGGGAGTGCTCCGGAGTGCCGTCACCAGGGCCGGGAATGGGAATAGCAGCGGGCACCCTGATTTGCATAGAGGTCATGTTTTGCTAATATGTGTCTTGTAGAAGCAGACAGCATGCAAAAGAGGATGGTTAAAACCTGACCCAGCGATGTTTTTAAATTTCAAATTATGCATAAAGTATGCATTAAATTAATTAGGGAATTCATTAAGAAGGGAAGAGTAAAGAAACTCGTGAGCAGTGTTCAGCATTTAGTAATGCAAGCCATTTTCTATAATTGTTATATAGAATTTGCCTCATAACATTATCCTTTGATAAATTATTGCAGCATAATATGATATATGTAGCTTATTAACAGTTTCATTAATTACTATTAGAGAAAGACACTGAAGTCTGGCACACATAGAACAAGTGTTGAAGCAGATGGTTGAAATTAGTGAAATGCAATTGGTTGCTGAACCCTTTTACCTAATTACATTATTACATCAAAACAGTTAAACTAAATTTGTCAAGTTGTCGGCCGAGCACTGGATGTTTGGAGCAGGGCCCAGCTCTGGATGTCCTCCCCTGGCTCCAGTGCCAGGCCCTCCTGCAGACCTTGACCTTGCCTCACTCACCTGCATCCCACATCAGTCTCCACATCCTCCTCCTCTTCCTCATGGCCTTGAAGAGCATCATTTCCACACAGCCTTGCCATGCCCTGGCAGTGTCCCCAGGGCTGCTCAGGGACAGCTCTGGGTTTGGCAGCTCTTGTGGGTTTGGTCTCCCCGGGTCAGGGGTGGTGAAAAGCTGTGGTGGGTGTGGGGACTCCCAGCTCAGCTCTACAGCACCCGGTGATACCGAAGCGAATGGGTTTGCAGCCGCTTCCTCCAGCCCATGGCACACTGCTGGGTTTGTTCCTTCTCTTGACACAACCCTGGGATTTCCTTCCTATGGTCCAGGAGCCAGGATAGAAAAGTCTGGAAGCTGGTTACTCTGCTTGGGCAGAGCCCCCGAGCCCTAGACAAGGGCTGGGCTGCACACACCACTCCCCCCCCAGTGACAGGATGCACCAGCACCAGCCTGGCTTCCCTCGCAGGACATGGAGGAGTCTGGGGGAGGATCTCAGGGTCTGAGGGGCACAGGGGTCCCTGTGCAGCCTGGGACACCCCTCTTGTTCCGTGCATGGTGGGGAGAAGGGCCATGTTCCCCACTGCAGGGTGGTGCCTTTGTCTGCCACATCACCCGCTGGCACCGAGCCTTTGGCCTCAGTGGAGCTGGGGGTCCCACTGCCCCCAGACCTGCTCCCTGGACAGGATGGGGTGCAGAGGGGAGAGGGAACCGCTCCCTGTGCAAATGGCCCCAGGAAGGCGTTTGTTCAAACAGCAACTAATGTGAGCCCATGTCCTTGCGGCCGCTTCATGTGGGAGTGATGTCGGGGTTCAGAGCCAGGAGAGTTTGTGGCTCTCAGCCACGGGGCCCTTGGCAAGCCCCATCCTACAGGTTTCCCAAAGACCCGAAAGTGATTTGGGTGAAATAAAGCATTCCAGCTGCCCGGGAAGGGAGATTTTCGGAAGTGTGTGTGCCTTTGGCTCGGTCTGTAGACCAGGAGGGGAGTGCCAGGCTGAGCACGGGGCTGGATGGGCTGTGGGGAGGGGGTCACTCCCCCTGGCTTCCACCTGGAGAAATGTAAAGGCACCGCTGAAATTAGTGAGTCAACCCTTCGTCGGAAATGTCACCTGCTGCCATGTGGGTGCTCTGGGTCTGTTCCTCATTAGAGCCTGGCACCTCAGCTCGGCACAGGCACCGCCTCGGAGCCGGTGTTCCACACGCTCCCCGGCAGGCTGGGAGCAGGGCAGGGAATCGCTGACAGCAGAGCTTTTAGATACATTTTAACAGATTTGTTTACCTCTGCCTTAATTAGAGCGAACCGGGTTTAGGCACCGAGCTCCTCCTCGTGCCTTTGGAAACGTTTTCGCTCAGCACAGCAAACTCCATGGCAGGGACTGCCTGCACAGCCATGGATTGAGGGGAGCTGGAATCACACACAGGGCTTTAAGAGCATTTCCCTCTTTTGCCCTGCCTCTGGCTTCCTGACTTTTAGCCCACCCACACTCCTGGAGGAGTCACCAAAGGCTGGTCCGTGTGCCGGGGAGGACCCAGACAGCACTGCCGGTGATCTCCTGGCGTTTCCGAGGGAACTGGGAGACGGCTCCTGGGGAACAGCCCCTCCAACCAACAGTTCAGACCCAGACTACGCAAACCTGGGGAATCTGTGAGCTGCTCCCACTGCACAGGTGGGAGAAGGGCTGAAAAATGGATACACAGTTATCCTACAGAAGTCCATCAAAATAATAATGAGCATAATTCCCAATAAATTCCTGCTCTGCTCTGAACCCCAAACCCAGTAATTAAATGACCTCTCAGTTGTTTAAAGAAGCCTGTGCCCATTGCATACTTTAATACTATAAGGAACGTTAAATAATTATCATCAAAATATATCTGTGGTGCCCTGAATTCTCTCCCTAAAAGGGTTTCAGGTTGGCCATGGCAGCTGGAGGCAACTCCAGCAGGGAGATGCCCAAACCCCCCATCATGCTGGGGGTGGCCTTGGATGAGCAGAAGGAGAGAGAAAATGTGGAGCCCTAAGTACGAAACATGACAATCCAAAAGTGCTTAATTTCTGCCCAGGCATCAGCAGGTGTGTGGGAGCAGTGGGGGAGTGTGTGGACTGAGTCACTGAACAGAGGCCCGTGTGGTTGGGATTTATTTTAATTATCCATACTGGCAGTTTTCAGGAAATCTCCCACCTTTGTGCTCCCCCAGCTCTACCCTTGGGCACCAGCACAGGCACTGGTGTCTGTGGGAGATGGGGACAGACTTTTAGCAGGGCTTTTGATAGGACAAGGGGGAATGGCTTTAAACTGAAGAAGGGGAGATTTAGGTAGATTTCGGGAGAAATCCTTCCCTGTGAGGGTGGGGAGGCCAGTGGCACGGAGATGGCACTGTCTGTCCGTGGGAGTCACTGCCAGCCCATCCCAGTGTGAGACCAGCGTGCCACATGGTGAGTAGGTACAAGAGCTCGGGCAGCGAGGTGGGACTGTGTATGATCAAACCAGAGCTGGTGAGGGAGGATTCCAGGCCTGGAATATCAGTGCAGTGCCTTCCTGTGTGCATATGGCAGGGAAGACAGGCCATAATGAGTCACTGAGAAATGTAATAAAAATAGGTTCTGCTGCCGTGTAAAGAAAGTAGCAGGTTCTAATTACCGTGGGGGCTCTCTCTGGTGGGAGGTGATGAGAAGGGGGCAGGACTGCCCTCACACTGCCCAGCACAGGGTTCCCAGCTCCGTGGGGTGGCAGAAAGGCTGGGAAACCCTGGGTGAGTTCAGCTGAAAAGCCTCTCCAGATATTTTCTAGTGCTATTTGTGATACATATGCAACTGAGCAGGCACTTCTTTTTATTTCTATTCTGCAGGAATTAAATTAATTTTAGAAATGGCACTATAACTATTTTCCTGCCTCAGGGACCATTTGTTTTAAAATCATTAAAGACTTTTATATGACACTGCACTGACATTTGACGTGAATAAATTAAAGGAATTAGTATAAAACTGCTTTCTTTCTCTGAAGCTTCCCAGCACATCTCTGCACACATGCACAGTCAGTGAGGGTGCTCACAGGCACCAATGTCAGTGTGCCCACGAAAGGATGCAGATCCAGCCCTCCAGCAGCTTCACTGTTGGAAGAGGATGAGGCACAGCCTTAGTGTGCACCCTCAGTGGGCCCTGCTGTGCCTCGGGGATCAGACTCACAGGATGGTTTGGGTTGGAAGAGCCCTAAAGCTCATTTCCTTCCACCCCCCTGCCACGGGCAGGGACAGCCTCCACTAGCCCAGGTTGCTCCAAGCCCCATCCAACCTGGCCTTGGACACTTCAGGGATGGGGCAGGCACAGCTTCTCTGGGCAACCTGTGCCAGGGCCTGCCCACCTTCACAGACAGGAATTTCCTGCTAATATCTAATCTAAATCTCTCCTCTTTTAGTTTAAAACCATTCCCCTTTTCCCTCTCCCTCTCTGCAGGTGTAAGTTGCTCTCCCTCTCTTTTATGCAGGAATGCAGGCATGTAAAGCAGCTGGGATGGTCCCAACTTGAGATCCCATCACTACATCTCACCTCCCACCTCTGGCTCTGCATGTTCTGACCCAGCTCTGGAACCAGATCATCCCTGCTGGAATTTCATGCCCCTCAGGTAATGACCCGTTTGCTTTCCCCACCCCACCTGCTGTGTGTGCCTGGCCCTGCTGGCTGCCCATGCCCTGCCTGCTGTGTGTGCCTGGCCCTGCTGGCTGCC